CCCCTTGCTAAAGTGGCGGACCAAAGCCTGGACAGCCGAGAACCGTCAGTCCGAAATCTGGTGGATGCCCACGTTGTGGCCAGCGCGTTTACGATGCCGAAAAGGCAATCGGTTGCCCTGGAGACGTAAGTTTACTTAATAAGCAAAAAAAACACTTTTTTCGCTGTTGAATGGCATATTTGGTTTCACCGTGAGTCAGTTAAACCGCCTAGATATCGCTGTAGAAATGGCTTCTTATGATTCTAGATGTTGGTGATATCGTTGCGTGGTGCACGAAACGCCTACGTAACCTCCACCTGGTTACTGATGGTGCAAGATAGGACAGCCTGAATATTGTGTGATTTCGTGAAATTGTGGATTCCAAAATGTAAACACTTTCTGCAGTTCTCAATCATTTACATTCAGCTCCAAGATCTGAAACATTTTCTCTTAAAAAAATCGCGATGAGATTAACCTTGCAACTGATCTACCCTTGTTAAGATACGCTGTTTCACGGCTGTTCTTTCAGTTGAAGTTCCACAAACGCTGCTTCCGATGCAAGACCTGCGGCAAGTCTCTCGATTCTACGAACATTGCCACGAAAGATGATGAAATTTACTGCAAAAGTAAGCGTGATTTATCTTCATTTGAAGTGTTGACTGTAATTTGGGTTGATTCCTGGGCAGGTCTCTTGTTTAAAACAACACCACAAGCAGTCGCCTTGTTCAGTTGTTGGTTTTTTTCAATTTGTAAGGCTATTTACTTGATCCCTTTAATTTCAGGAGATAAAATTACAGGTCCAACTCGGGTCATCTACCAGGTGTCATCTCAATGTAGCATCGATGGATCTAGTACCTCGTCTTCCACCAATGAGAAACTGGCTAGGAGCGCGCGGTTTTCAAACGCAGCCAGCCAATTTTCTGTGGCGTTTATATGCGTATTAAGACATTATATTAGTCGAGTAATCACAGCTAGTTTTAGCGAAAATTCAAAGTTAGCAAGTCACCCGTAAATTCAGATGGCAACAGCAATAAATGGAGTTTATTCAATGTTTGCCACGCACCAACAACTTTTGGCGAAATTCTAAACCAAAGATTTGGTGAAAGCACCCAAGCGTGTGTAACTTGATTTTGCTTATTTCGATTTTAATTGCAGCTTGCTACGGGAAGCAATTTGGACCGAAGGGTTTCGGTTTTGGCCAAGGAGCCGGCGCCCTCAACATGGGCTAATTAAATCGGGAACCAAGAACCAAATGACCCCAATTATGCTATTATTCTGTTCTCTCCTTTTTTCCGTCCCTTCGCAATTTATCTGGTCATTTTCCCCCCAAACAATCATAAGTAAAGTGCACAAAATCTTGACATGCCTAGTGTTATATTACCATTTCGGTGGTTACGGAATTTGCAGCAGGCAGAAAGCTTGCTACCACACTGAATCGGTCAACAATTCGGAAAAAGCTCTCACCATAACCAGAGACCGTCCCCTAGATGTTGTTTATCATCGCCTAATTGGCTAAATTACTGTCAGAAATGGTAATTTATAGTGATTAGTTCGTGGAACGTCGAAGCTGTATGACAGTGTTGCAAAACGATTGCTTGCAATTAGCCAACCTGGGCTCTGGTTTATCTCCGAATGACGTTATTTTAGACAGTATCCCAATTGGATTACTAAGATTGCATTCATGTATGACTCAGATCTTACCATCATCAATTCTAGTAGGTCTACCAGATCAACCTGTTAAGAAAAATCTTTAAACCGGCATTTTTTACTGATTCTGAGTTGTGCTTTCTGTTAATTAGTGATCACTGCGCACTTTGCATGTCTCTTTGTGAGCCTCAGCGTCGTGGCTTTCATCGAAAACGCAAAAATCCGATATCAGAAATACATGGTTCTTTACGCGAGGCGACAGTTATTGCCCGATTCAAAATCTAATTCATGTTTTTATATAAAAATAGTTTAACCCACCCAACTGAAAAACAGATAAAAGACCTCCAGGGATGCGTGTGCTACGCGGTGCAACAGGCGGAAAATCGATAAAATTGGCCTCGACGTTGACGCATTTAAACAACGGCCTACGCATCTTGTTTCCAAATAAATCATTGTGGAATAAAAGTTTTTAGGCAACTTGATTAAATTTGAATTTTTACGGCACTTTGGAAACAGTTTGCAACCAGCTATCATTCAAAAGTTACCTTTATCGCAAAAATCGTATGTTACTGCTTTGTGGTGCTGACTTAATTTTTTTATTAAATGTCAATCGCCTTTGTTTTGGTTGGACAAATTAAGTCACTGGTGACAAAGTCTAAGAAATAATCTGATATGGCTTTTCGTCATATAAACTTTTAAAAAGGTTACATAGAAGCGGTTAAATTGGGGTTCATTTAGACTGTTCTAGACTCGTTGAAAAAGTCGTTGTGTGGATTCAACTTAAATCAGAAGACTTCCAACCCCAACAGCAAATCAAATTGCACAATGTGCGTCCCAGTCTCAAGAAACTCGAAACTGTTCATCATTTTACAATGTCCAAATTCCCTCGCTTGTCAGATTCTGACAGTGGGAATATGTTTGCCCACCGCAACGCATCTGTCCCAGGCATCAAAATTGCCGGGGGCTAACAAGGGTTACCAGAAATGAATCATAAGTAAACACACATTGGTTTTATGCGTTTTTTTCAAAAAAGAACCATATTTCTAACCGATTTTGCATCCAAATGAGTCGAAGTGTATAAACTCTACTACCAAATCAAAATATTTAAGCAAATCTTTCCACGTATTTTGTTCCACAGATGGTCAATTTATACGCGAAATTGAAATCAAATTAGTTTCATGTTCCCAAGGTTTTGCGTTCTCGCCAACACAATCGTCACGAATGTACCCCATTTCTACCTTACACCAAAATATTTTCTTTCCGTAAATAGCGAAATTTGCCATTGGTTGTTATCAAGGTCAGGGGAAACGCATGTTTCAGGTAATTTAAACGTATATATTCCAGGCTTTCCCGTTGCACACGTTGTTCGGTAATATGAACTGTACAACAGGAGGTAGACAGAGGTTAAGATTTATTTCTCTGTAAATGCTGAATTCGAGCTTGTGGCCGCGTTTTAATGCACAATTACATTTTATGACCTAACGTTAAAGTACAACGCCAGCGGATCGTGGTACTGGCTGGCACGAAACGAGCCTCATAAAATAACTGTGGTTGAAACTGCGACAGGTCGTCAAATTTGCCTTCTTCAACCACAAATTAGAAGAACAGTAATCTGGGCATCACCAACAAACCTTGATTAGGACTTTCCGCATTTGCTTGTACTTCAAAAAAAATTGCTGGAGGAGTGACGAAGTGGCGTCACGATTTCTGCTGCACCGACATTGTTTGCTCACAAACAGGAAGGCGTGCGGACAATCTGCGTCGGTATGGAGGTTCCGCAGACAGACTTCCCAGTGTGTTCGATCATAAGGAAAGGCGAACTAAGAATCTACCGTAATTTGAAGCTCCGTGGAATCGTAAGGCCGCTTGCCAAAGCCTGCTGACGCACACTCCTAAACACTGCGGGTGAGTGGTTCATTCACTCCATGAGGAAACTGCGTCAGGAAACCGGTGTTGAATATTTCAGCACACAAAAGCGCGATCCAGTTACGTTGGTCCCAGTCATTGGACTCCAAGTAAAAGCAGGTTCAACAATACATTCTAACAACTTAGTCCTGCGCAGTGCGATCGCAACTCGACCAATAGCGTTGATCCACACACATGGGTGACGAGCGGAAGCGAAGTTCTAAGGAACATTCTTAGAGTTCTAAATGGTTTTCGAAAGAAGATGGAAACCACTTCGTCGAATCCTTAAGTAGTTTAAAAAAAGTGTTTGTTTATTTGTAACTGTTATTTATTTCGAATCAAATATTTGCAAGATAGATAAAACAGGTATATTACTAGGTGGATGACTTAGTTTGTACAGATTTTGTGACAAAGTTATTCAGCATAAAAAAATTGAGAACAAAGAACTTAATCTTGGAAATATTGCCCTTCTTTTTCTTTGACGTCCAAATGACGTCGCGAAAGAAACTTGCCAGCCTCGACGCACATCGTCAAGCGTTTTGAATTTTTTGTTCACTAAGACGTACTGGTGCATTGACTAGAACAATCAGTAGTTAGATGGGGCCAAGTCTGGTGAAAATATTGCGTGTGGTGGAACTTTCATTCATAAGTTCAAGAGCATCTTCTGAGTCGCTCCAGCAACGTGAGGTGGTTCAGGGTTGTCATGCATCAGCTGCATGGCTTGTCTGTTTCCGCAGTCACCGTCTGACGACCAGTCTCCAGGAGTTCGTAATAAAGAACACCCCTCCTGTCCCACCAGATTCACAGGAGAGTATTCTTCAAGCAGATGTCCGGTTTCGGCGTCGATGTACTGGGTCTCCCGGGATCTACCTACGATTCTCGAGCAAAATTTGCTTTTCGTCACCCGTCAAAATTTACCACAAGAGGTCCTTTTTTGTTGCTGACGATCAAGCAATGAAAGACATGTGTTCATTCGGTGACCCAGCTTGTGTGCGGTCAACACACGTGGGGTTACCCAACTACCCTGCCTACGTTTGGAAATGCGTGTTGAGTGGCTCCTGAACAAGCTGCAAGCTCTTGTTGCGTTTACGTTGAGTCTTCATGAAATTCCGCATCGTCAAACTTTCGAGGGGGCTAGACACTAAAATAGAATTCACCCCTTCTAAGATGTTAGTACCAATAATTACACATTTCATAACACACAACATCGGCACCAAGAACACCTCAAATTGATTCAGCCCGTGCCTTAGAATCACTTTTTTTTCCTCGTTGGAATTCGTGAAAAATGCAGGTGCCATCACAAACTCTGTCCTTCTGAGAGGTTATGCACCCCACATAGACTTTTCGTTCGGTGCTCTGAAATGCTGCGTCCGATTCTTCCCAAACCACCATAAGACCACGTAAATATCTCTTTTTTAAATATAATTTTAAGCTCGATGTACAAATTAAATCATTCAGCCAATAGGTTGTATTTCGTGGACTGTGAATTGCAGGCAATAAGAAGTCGACCGTGTAGCTGATCGTCCACATCGCGGCACTGCGCCATGTAAGGTAGATAATGACGCGAAGAAAAGGTTTTCTTGGTCAAAACCAGGCTATATTTAGAAGCGAAGAGGTGTGTTAGTCATGTACGTGTTCCGTTCCAAATGTCACGGGCTTCCGGGAGGCACAGACGCCTACGTAAAACACGCCGTGTAATTGTGGCATATCCGCTTGTGGTTCTTGCTGGACTGCGAACACATTTCAATCAACGCCCCACATTTAGATGGCACTTTCAAGAACAGCTTTTTTGCGGTCCCCTAACTCCCAGCTTCTCCCCACTGCGAAATCTCTCTAGCCGTGCATCTGTGCAACAAGAAGCACCAAACCCCTCATGGCAAACGCTAAATTTAATTAAGTAACATGTTAAGTATGTCGGATCAGAAATTTCGTTTAAGATTATCCCCTAACGATTAGGCGAGGTTCACACAATGTAGTGTAAACTAGGCGGTTGGGTTTCGTGTGGAGGCAGTTGTGTGTGCCAGTTGGTATTCTCCAGGGCCAATCAGGTGCGATAGCAACCTGCTCGCGTGATTATGATTGGTTGTAGTATGAACAAACAAACGCCAGGCCGTCTCTAGCTGCCTAACTGGTGATTCCTTGAAATGTAAAACCAGAACTGGAACTTGGGCCACTGAACATGTGGCGTTATTAGTGTCATCATCAAAGGAATCTACGTTAAGTGGACTCAACTGCCTTGAA